ACAAAACGCATAAAAACTGGGAAAAAGACACATATTTTTTAGACCGTTTTTTACGGGCGAAAATTGTATTTCAAACTCCTGTTGTGCCATGCTGGCCAGCATAACACGATAATGTAGAATTGTTGCTCAATTAACCGATTATTTTTGGAAATTCGAAAATCCAGTAGTATTCAACCTGGTCCAGCGTAAGATTAAGCTCAAGTTGTATTTGTTGTACATCAGTTTTCCGCTGTTGTTGCTGATCCTGCTGTTGCTGCTGCTGTGGTTCGCCGCCTACGCCGCTTTCCTCCTTTTTCACCTCCACTTTCTCGGCCGTATGTTCAATTTCGGCCACTTCCATGATGGCACGCATTTTTGCCAGATCTTTCACTCGTGCTTTTTCAAACTGAAAAAAAAAAACTTGTAACAATGCACTTCGGGAAAATTGAACTTCGTTTTTCTGGCTAAATTATGGCCAACTGTGGCCGCACAACTCAAACATCGGAATCCATAGCCAGTGCCCACAGGTCAATTTGACAATTTTGGCTGTGTTTCGGCTGGGAGACAGCTAGTTTTTACGTTTATTTAGCAGAACTTTGTGTATTATTGTCCTATATCGCTTTTTTAACTAAAGCTTGCACTTCCAAAAGCAAATTCCCCGAAATTTCTTTGACTTCACCTGTAAAGTCGAAAAAATGAACGATTTTTTGGTCGTACTACTGGCATATGTACACCCATATAATTATTAATTCATTTATATATTTATTTTTTCTAATATATTTTATTATGTTTCTGGGATGTAATAAATAAAATTAATTCAGGAATATAATTTCGAATATAGTTCTGTTCACAGTGTAGAAAGTCAATTGGACGAGCGAAAAAAATATAGGAAATTATGAACTGGATTACAAACTTCAATAAAAAATAAATAAATCCATCTCTTTAAAAAAATAGATTTGTTTGTTTTTTATTGAAGTGGGATTTATTTTTTTTTATTGAAGTCCTAAATCCACTTTAAAAAAAAAAGAAA